TGGTGTCGATGACGGTGATGGTGGTGGTGGTGATGGTGTCAGGGATGGTGGTGTCGATGACGGTGATGGTGGTGGTGGTGATGGTAACCGGAAGACAGTTTAGAAACCTTACTTCTTGCTTGTTGAGCAGTATTTGACTCAGATTTCTTGAGACATTGTCCCTGGAATTGAGGAATCCACATCAAGTTTTGGTGGAGAGTGGAAGGGTGGACCAAGTTTGTGTTACCATCTTTTATAAGATGACTGCAGGTTTGAGAGAAGCTGGATACTAGCCATCTGCTTTCTGCAAGGAAAATGCATTAGCCACAATCCATTATATTGGTTTGCTGACTCAAAGTCTTTCATGATGACTGCGTAATTAAGTAATTACATTTTTTTGTATCTTAAAAGATATGTCTTTGTGCTGGGCTTAAATGTAGGGTCAAGTGCAGTGGTCAGGGGAAGCAGTGTTTATTTAGAATCAACGTTCACTTGATGAATATGGGGGACTGTGGCTTGAAACTTGACCAAGAGGATCCACATTCTGCTTTCTACCCCTCTGCAGAGTGGTGGAGCACTGAAGGTACTGAAAGTGGAGAAGGGGGAGCAGAGCCTGTCAGGAAAAGAGAAATATATCTGTCAGGTAGGCCTTAGAGGGTGATAGGGTCACCTGCTTAAAGCACCCAGCACTGTGCCCAACATACATCAGCTATGTGGTAAATAGATCTCTCACCCCTTTTCCCCATCAGATTGGCATCCTGGTGCCCTGGTGACAAAGATCACCTGAAAAGGGAAGGAAGCCAGGCCATGGGTGGCCAAACTAAGTGACTGGTCAGATTGTGGGTTCAGAAATAGCTAGAGAGAAGGAAATTACTCTTTATCAAGTGCCTACAGACTGCCAAGCATTGGCTAGTGGCTTCATGTTTGATCCTCATGAGGATCATGAGTTAGTATTATTCAGCTCATTCTGCAAATGAGGAAAGAAGTGACTTGCCCCCAGTCATGAAACTAATTCAAAATTGAGCCAACATATGAATCCAGGCCTTTCTGATCCCAAAGCCTCCACTTATCATGATACAGCCCTATGAGGTTGTAACAATGGGGAAATGGGGTATTAAAAATGAGACTGAGGTGTGGGAGAGCCAACAGCTCTGCTCTCTTGCCACTTAGTCTGTTTAGGGCCTTCAGTTCTTCAAGGAGCCAAACTTCAAGAGATCTAGGTCTGAGGGGCGCCTGGGTGGCTCAGCCAGTTATGGGTCTGTCTTCGGTTCAGGTCATGATCTCAGGATCCTGGGATTGAGCCCCGTGTTGGGCTCCCTGCTCAGTGGGGGTCCTCCTTCTCCCTCTCCCTCTGCCCCTCCCCGCTGCTCATGTGCACATGTTGTATCTCAAATAAATAAATAAAATCTTCAAAAAAAAAAAAAGAGAGAGAGAGAGAGACAGAGAGCTAGGTCTGAGACAGAACACAAGGAGTGAGGGCAGGGTGAGCAGAAGGTGTAAGGTGGAGGCAGGGGATGCTCAGAATTTCCCAGATCTCCTCCCCACCCAAAGCCTCTTTCCTCCTTGTTTTCACCACTCTTTGGCACAGCAGGGGTGGCCTTGATGCCTCTGTGTGTGTGTGTGTGTGTCTGTGTCTGTGTGTGCGCTGCTGGGAGCCCTCTGACCCCATGGGGCCACCCAGCTCAGCTGCAAGCTCAGCCCTAAGCTCTTTGGAGGCCCAAGCCTCTTTGCAGAGATCGAGGGCTATTTTAATGGTCTCATGGCTTCATGGCTTGGGGCCCCTGAGCTTTTCAAGAGCTTACACAAATATTTAAGCCCTGGGAGGAAAAATACATTGACTCCAAAATGTGAGCAGAAAAACAGCAAAATCAAAATTAACAAATGCTGAATTAAAATGTCTACAAATGCAGTATTATGCCAAGCAGTCATGGGCAACCCAAACCAATTCTTACGTTGTTATAATAAATACAATTAAGTTCAAGTTACAAACCAAAATGAATAATTTGCTCTTCACAAAACTCGAAATTACAGAAATCCTTTTCAAAATGTTTACTGCAGTACGTGGTATTTGATGCAGGAGAAATTTATGACGCTTGTCATGATGAGGATGCGTCTCTAACCTGTAAAGGCCTGAGAAGGACTTGGCTGGCCTTGCAGTGCAGGGTCCCTTTGGGTCACAGAGGGGGCGAAGGAAGCTGCCGCCAGTCTCTTGGTGGAACTGGGGATCACAATTCAGTAGGCTGGGACGTGCCCGGGGGCCATCTGCCATCAACAGCTGTGGTCTGTCCTCTGCTCTGCCTGAATCAGGAGAGCAACACGCTCTGATGCGCTTCTAACAACGCCCCCTGGCGGCTGCTTGTGGAGAAGGAGCTGACTGGGGTCATCCTGGAGGCAGAAAGACCAGGGAGGAAGCTGGAGCCGGGTCCAGTGAAGAGGTGATGGGGGTCTCTGGGCCGCACCAGGGGCAGTGGAGACAGAGAAAGAAGATGGATTTGAGAGATGTGCCTCAGGTAGAAATGACAAGACTGTCTAAATAACTGGATGTGGAAAGAAGGAGGAGGAAGAGTCCTGGGTCGCCTCAGAGTCCTGGAGGGGTGGGTGGTGGTGCCAGTGGTGGCCAGGGAATGTGGGAGGAGCACATGTTTGGTAGATGGTGATGTCAGTTCACATCATGCAAACATACTGGGCTTGAAGGGCTTGTGGGATGTCCAAAGGAAACCATCCAGGATGCAAAGTGACATGCTGGCTTCACCAGGTGGGCACTAGGTGAAGACACAGATGAGGGCACCCAGCCAAGAGGATCATAAAGCAGAGCCCTTTCATCTGGGGCTTTCCCCTACTACACCACCCACTAATTTCATGCACCAAACCTCTGTTGATGTTCATAGGCTGGTGGAGAATGAGACATGGATGAGGGGAGCTGTGCTGTGAGGTGGAAGGGTTCCCCATCTCAAGTGCTGTGGGTCTCTGCTTCTGCCTGGTGGGTGTGGTGGGGATATAGCAAGCCTCGTGGTAGAGGTGGCATTTGAATGGAATCTGGAAGGCTGGGTGGGATACATATGGGAGTCATTCTAGCACAGAGAGGAGCAGGCTAGCTCATGAAGCCCCATTTTTTTTTAATTTTGGAGAGAGGGGGAGGAGCAGAGGGAGAAGGAGAGGGAGAATCTTAAGCAGGCTCCACACCCAGCATGGAGCCAGACATGGGGCTCAATCTCACGACCCCAAAATCAAGAGTCAGACACTTAACTGACTGAGTCACTCAGGTGCCCCTGGAGCCCAGATTATTAGCTAAGGGTTTTGCCATGGTTGTTGGGGAGAGCAAGAGAAAAGAAAAAGTTCAGAACCAAGACTTACTGAACCTCTGCAAGGGGCTGTGTTAGTTTCCTATCTCTACTGTAACAAATTGCCACAGATTTGGTGGTTTACAACACAAGGGTATTCTCTTGCAGTTCTACAAGTCAGAGGCCTGAAATCAGTCTCACTAGGCTAAAATCAGGGCATCGATCAGCAAGATGTGTTCCTTCTGGAGGTCCCAAGGGGGGACCTGCTATCTTTGCTTTTTCAGCTCCTTGTGGCTGTCCATGTTCCTTGGCTTATGGACCTTCCTCTGTGTTCCAAGTTCATTACAGCCTGTGTCTCCATCATTACCTCTCCTTCTCCTGGGACACTCACCCCTGCCTCCCTCCTACAAGGACCCTTGTGGTCATATTGGGTCCAAGTGGATAATACAGAATAATCCAGGATAATCACAAACTCTTTAATAATCACACCTGCATGGTCCCTTTGGCCACATGCACAGTATCTGGTGGTGAGGCTGTTGTCATCTTTGGGGGCCATTATTCATCCAGTAGTGCCCAGAGTGTGCGTCATCACCAGAACACGGACAGCCACACTCAGACCCTGGGAGCCTGTCTGGTCCAAGGCCCCGGCTTTCCATCCCTATTCCTGTCTGCCTTTGCTGACTTTCCTGTACAGAATCTGGCCACTGCCCCAGAGCTCAGAGACTGCTTAGTTTCTAACTAAATTATCTTTCAACAATGAGGCAGACAAGGTTGGGGACAGTCGGGATGAACAGAGCTAAATGGGTTCTTTGCAGCAGGACTTCTCAGAGCCTTTACCATGCCGTGTACTCTGACTCTCTAAATTCAATTCATCATGAAACTTTTCTGAAAGAGTAACGTTCCACAGAACACAGTTTGGGCAGTGCTGCATAGACCAGGCTAATTCCTGAGGTGTTCAGCTTGAAGAAAAGAAGCCTCAGGGGAGTAGGTCTTCCTTTAGCTCTCAGAAAAGCTAAGTGGGGAGGAGAAAGCCTTAGTTCCACATTCCTTTATTCGATAAATGCACCTCGTAAGTGCTAGGGGCTGGATATAGATTGGTGAATTATATAACCATGTTTCCTGCCCGAAAGGAGCTTACCACTATGTAATAGATAAACGTAAAAGATTATTACCTTTGGTTTATTTATTTTTAAAATGTAAAAGATTATTGATTTCAATACTACCCATTGAGATAAGGGCTGTGGGGGAAACATCCAGAACACAAGGAGAGGGAATAATATGTGGTGTTCAAAGAAGGTGTCATTTAACCAAGACCTGAAGGCGAAGGACACAGGAATACAGAGGCTGGGGAGGGAACACTCCAGGCAGAGAGGACAGCATGAGTAGAGGCCCCCAGGGGACAGGGGATGGCATAGTTAAGGGAGTGAAAGGATGAAAGGAGAGCAGTGTGGCTACATCACAGGCAGAGGGATGGAGAAGAGAAGTTTGGCCGGAGAAGCTGCTGGAGAGACCAGATCACATAGGTACTTGGGGGCTAAGGTGAAGAGTTTGGAAGGCATCCTGTAGTTGCTAAGCGGGGAATTTGCATAATAACAACAACAACGACAACATTGAAGATTTGTCTGTAAGAGGCCAGAGGGCAAATCCTGCTCCTGCCTTGTTTCCAGGGACCAGAGTGCCTGGTAAATAGTACATGCGCACCCAACAACCACCTGCTGAGTGAAGAAACCAAGAAGAGAAGGAGGAACATCAGCCCACAGGCTAGTGCAGTGGTGCCTGCAGGGGACGGTCTGGGAGGCGCAGAATGGAGATGGGACACGTAAGGGGGAGGTGTTTCGGAACTAGATGTGATAGGAGTTGCTGATGGGTGAAGGTGAGGGGCCAGCTAAGGGAGGAATCTAGAACGCCTCCTGGGTCTCTGCCTCAAACAACTAACTGGGCAGATGATGTGCTGTTTTCTATGCAGGGCAAGCCTGGCAGAGGCGAAGGGGTGCAGTATGGGGGTGGGGGTGGGCAAGAGAACCGGGAGTCCCCACTCCAACAGGCCAGCGGTGAGATGCCTTCGGGACGTGTGAGTGCAGCCGTCAGGTGGCAGTCTGGAGCCCAGAGGAGAGGGGAAGGTGGAAGGAGCAACCATGTCGTGAGCCAGGTCAGCCAGGGAGAGTGTGAATGAAGGCAGCAGAGGACCAGGACCCACATGGGTCCCCAACGGTCTTCAAACCAACAAAACCCAAACAAAACCAACCAACCGAACAAGGTCATGTTTGTGTGGTGAGCTGGAGAAACCCGTTTAGGCCCTGAGTTTGTTTCTCCTCTGTCAAAGGAGATACTAAATCTCCCTCATAGAACAATACCCCAAGGC